CTGACTGGCCCAGAAGAGCTCAGCCCATCCCAAACTGGCTCTTGGTTTTGGCTTGCTGAATGGGATGTGCTTCCCCTTGTCCTATCCTCTTGTCCCTCTCCATGGACAGCCACCCACCGTGCCACCCACAGCTTCTCTCCCAGGGATGGCTGCCCTCACCCACAGGGGGTACCTGCCCAGGGTCCTGCTCCTTCTCCTGCCCTCAGTCCCAGTTTTGATGTTGCTGTTGGGTTTCCAGCCCTGCAAAGGGGTTTTGTCCCAGTCTGATATCTCATCTCCAGCTCCAAGAGCAGGGGAGCACTGGGACCAGCCATACCACTCTGCTGAGAGCTGCAGGGCAGGATGCATCATCCCCCAAAGTGGTGCCTACCTTGTTTCCAGGATCTGCTGGCGGATGGTTTTGATGTACTCGAAGCTGTCAAAGCAACAGATGTCATAGACCAGGATGTAGGCATGGACGCTCCGGAGCCCCCTGCAACACACGTCCGCCCACTCCTGCAAGGTGCAGAGAGGGATCAATCCTGGCTTAGCCCCGCTGCTGGGCCCAGGGGATGCCCCACACTGCTGCCAGCAGGCAGCAAGGCGGCTGAACACTCTCCAGCCCCGACACCCAGCACCCATCTCATCTCTGTTCCGTGACCGGCCCTGCACAGCTGTGTCTGCACCCACAGCCTGTCTAACACACAGTGGTGAGCTGGGAGTGGGGTCGAATGCAGCCCCCTGCCCTGGATGTAAAAGCTTCATCCTGCAGAGCTCCTAATTAGGTGTGTCAATTAGTGATGTGCCCCGCTGTTTGGGCAGGGCAGGTGAGGAGAATGCTGAGCCCCATCCCCATGGACCTGAGGGTGATGGACCAGCAGTTCTGTGGGTCAGAGAGGGAAGGTGATGGCAGGTCTGTTTGGAGGGGACACGGGGACAGGAGAGGAGCAGTGGCTGCTCAGGAACCAGGTCTGTGTGAAAAAGATCAGGAGCCAGTGCAGAGGGAGGCAGGGGTGGCCTCTCCAAACCCAAAATTTGGAGTTGGAAGAAATACATGCTGTTGTGAAAGTTTTGGGTTTCTGGGAGCAACAGGATTTTTTCCCATGCTGTAAGTGAAAATCTGCCCCACTTCCAGCCACTTTCCCATCCCAGCAGTGGGACCAGGAATGGCAGCCTGTGAAGGCAGCACTGCAAACCCTCCTGAGCGCTTCTGGAAAGGAGATAGATGCTCCAAGGGGGAAAGGCATCACTTCTCCCTGAGCAAACCCCTTCAGAACCATGAATCAGCCCTTTCTGAGTTTATAATTGGAATGAAGCAAAATGAGAAGACCTAGGACTGAAGGGAACTGGGAAAAAGAGGGGTTTGGGGTGCGGGTTGGTCTCCATCACAGACGACTGCACAGGAAGGAGCTCAGAGTGAACAGAATGACACAGCCCCTCTCTGTCCACCGAGGGGAGGAGGTGCTGGGGAGATCCTCAGTCTCAGAGACGCAGGCGGGTGGAGCAGCAGCGTCTCGGGTTACACCGAGCCCTGATACACCTGGGAGATAACAGATCGCAGCTATTTCACCACACCGGGGTGCAGCTCGCTCCGGCGCTGTGATGTCAGCATGGTTTTCCTCATGCAGTGCAGGCTTCCCGGGATGCTTGAGCTGTAGAAGGGTTGCACTGCTGGAGCAGGATGTCAGAGAGCCACTGGCTCCTGCTCCTCTCCCAGGACATCACCGGGAGGGATGCAGGGACGCTTTTCCTGGGCACGGAGCAGAGTCCAGCGATGTTTCCCAGCAGGCAGAGCCGCATCCTCCACCATGGTCCTCTTCTTTCCCCTGGGAGCCATCCGCCTGAGCACCCTCTCCTCCCTGGAAACCTCCATCTGTTCCCACCGGCCGCCTCCACTTGAGTGCAGCAAGGCAGGGAGTTAATCGGGTGTGTTACCGTCGGCTGCCGTGTCAATAAATTACCCTTTGCTGTTTGGGGCTGTCTCTCGCGCTGACCTTTCGTTCCCTGCACTCACTGATTAATTTTCAAACCTGCTCCTCGCCCCTGGAGCACTCGCTTCACCTCCTGCCCAATGGCACAGGGACTCTTGGAGCAATACAGGGCCCCTGTAACCCCCTCCCTCTTGGGCACAGGAACACTGTAATTAACTGAGGTGGCCCCACTGATGGCATTGCCCTCCAGCGTGGCTGTGGTCATGGTTGGGCACCTGCAGCTCCTTTTCCAACAGCAGTGACGCAACTTGTGCCTCTGGGATGGGGCTATGGCATGAGCTTAAAATCCTCTCTTTCCCCCATTACCCCCTTCCCCCCCCAAAATGGTCAGCACTGGTCAGCACTTTCCAGCCCCACAGTGCCTTTTGTGGATGCTTTGGAAGCACCTGAGAGCACGGTTGGGCTGAGGAGGAGTTGGTGGATTCAGCACTCCAAGAATGAGCCCAGGCAATGCTGGGGGGTGATGGCCACTCCCAGGAGGGGACAAGCAGCCCTGCTCTGCCTGGCTTAGGCAGTGGGTACATCAGGGGTCTGGCTCTCCAGGAACCCCTGATTTCCACCTTAATGCTCTAGCATTTTCCCTGACAGCCACAGAACTGGATCCCAGTGCTCCAGGATCCACCACTCAGCTGGATGTGGCTGTGGGCAATCCCAGAGCCACGCTCCTTGGAGTGGGAACACTGTCTCTTGCATTTGCTGCCATCAAGCTTTAAAAGGCACTTTATCCTGGACCTGCTCAGCCAGTATCCATGAGGACACAATCCCTCGCTTTTAGCAACCAAACCCTGACAGGGAGGGAGAAGAGGAGGAACCAGGACCCCATGGAGTTACACAGCAAAAGCCCAGGGAGGTCACCAGAGACCCCCCCCAGGGTGGAGGTCCCCTCGGGAGCACCCCTACCTGCAGGGTGTTGACAGGGAAGGCGGTGATGGGGGGAAAGTCCATGATCTGCAGGTCGTGGACGTGGCCGTTCATGACCACGGCGGGCAGGTAGACGCGGCGGGCCGTGGTGGGCACGCAGACCTCGCTGAACTCGTTGTAGAGGAACTGCCGGACTATGGCACTCTTGCCCACGCCCTGGGCTCCCAGCACGGCGATCTTGAACGTTGCCACCATTCCGCCGCGCGCCGGCCGCTGCCCTGGTGCTGCCTCCGCGGTGCCGAGGCTGCATATTCCCGTGCAGGGGGCCTCAGCCCCATTCAGGATGCATTTCCCCTCCGGGACAGCCCGTCACTGCAAGGCCAAGGAGAAGCTGGTCAGATCCTAGAGACACCCCACTGTCACGCTGGTGTTACTTCAGGGGATATTTTTGGAAGCAGGAGCCTGTGGAAAAGGGTTACACCGGGGAGCCCCAGGGTTGGACAATGATCCCAGCACTGCGGGACATCGGGGTCTCCTTTGGAGCCTCCCACCCCACACAGCCAAGGAGAGCCAGGATTTGAGTGAACTTCATTCTGGGAAGGTTCTCGCAGGCACATTCCTCCCTTTCAGCACCAGAGCAAGGAGACCTCCAGGAAAGGGTGTGTCTGTGGCTCAGGGTTTGCTCAGCCTGTCAGCAGCAGATCCCAGGCTGTGCTGGGGACTTGTTCCATAGCACAGTGGGGACTGTCACCGGCTGCTCCTTCCCAGTGCTGCCCCAAGGCAGGGAATCCATCTTCCCTCCGCTTGGACAGCTGGAATTGCCTTTTGCTGGGGTGGGGGGAGGTTGCTCTGTGCCTGCGAGCGACAGCTTTAACGTTTAATTTCAGGCTTTGAGCGGCTGGGCAATTAACTTGATGGAGACTAATTTCCGAGCCAGCTGACGGGGTGAGCCCACAAGCTGCTGGCAGGGCCACACGTGTGGGGGGACACAGGGTGATAACCCACACATGGGAATTTGGGAGCTGAGTCTGAGTCTGAGGAGTCCAAACACCCGCTGGCAGTGGGCTCCCGACCAGGAGCTGTGATGGGAACAGCAAGGGTGAGGGGATGAGTCCCACTTTTGCTTGCTGTCATCACTAGGAAGCAGCTTGTGCTTCATCCCAAAGTGTGGATGTTTTGACCAATTTGTGATGCTCTGGTCCATTTTCCCTGAAAACCATGCCCAAAGCACAGGGCAGCAGCAGAAAGTGTCTGGTTCAAACATCCTGTTCGGCCCGTTCTACGGGGATTATCTGCCCCAGGGAGAGCCTGGGCACAGAGGTTCCCACTGCGGGGTGCTGGAGTGGATGTGCTTCCTGCAGTCCCCCAAGCTGGGCCATGGCTCACACCATCCTCACCCCCCTTGCAGCAGGACTGGGGATCCTGTCACCCTCTGCTGCTGGGGCTGTCCCCTGGGGTGCTGGCTGCCCCCAGCGCTGGTAGCAGGAGTGTTTCCATGCCAAATGCAGGGAAATAGGGAGTGCAGGAGCCCCCATGCCCGACCCTGCCAGGGCCTTTCTCCACCAGCAGACAGCACTGTCATTGCAAGTCCCGGGGGGCATCTCTGCTGCAGGGACAACCCCATACCCACAAACCCTTCCTCCTTGCAGCAGCTTCCCCAGCTCCTCTGTGGGGCTGGAGGGTGACGGAGCAACACAACTGGAAACCCAGTGCCTGCAGGGCTCCCTGGAAGTGGGGCACAGGCTGAGCCTTACTGTGCCACCCCAAAAACCCTGTTCCCCTCCGTGCTG